TTAGGGTTTAGGGTTTACCCAGAAGGATGAGGCATTGACTTTCCTGCGAATTTTATCGGTTAAAATTGTAGCAATCAAAAAATACTACTACCAGGTGAGTAGTAATAACGGCAACACGAGCGCCAGCAGCAAAAGAAGCGACACCCTGCCCTAAACCCCAAACCCTAAACCCTAAACCCTAAACCCTAAAAACCCTAAACCCTAAACCCTAAACCCTAAAATCCCTAAACCCTAAAGCCCAAAACCCTAAAACCCTAAAGCCCTAAACCCTAAACCTTCGGAGCGCTCTGAAAGGTGCTCCGCACACTGGGGCTGCCGGCTGCCAGCTCGCGTTTCTTGGCCAAGGACTCAGCGCCGTCCTCACAGTTTAGGGTTTAGGGTTTAGGGTTTGGGGTTTAGGGTTTAGGGTTTAGGGTTTAGGGTTTAAGGTTTGGGAGTCTGGCACTGGGGTGCTAGGGCTTTAGTGTTTGGGGTTTTGAAGGTTTTGGTGGTTTGGACCTGAATCCTAAACCCTGAATCCTAATGGTTTAGGGCTTTAGGGCTTCTGTAGGGCTTCAGGGGTTAGGGGTAGAGGGAGGGTGGGGCTGGTATCAGAGATTAGCGTACATAGGGTTTACGTCCTGGAGTTAAACCCTAAACCCCAAACCCTAAACTCTAAACCCTAAACCCTAAACCCCAAACCCCAACCCTAAACTCCATAAACCCACGTCTCCTTCCAGGAGGGTTAAGGCTTCCTAAGGTTGGGGCGTTGCCCGCATTGATACCAGTATCTTGCAACCTTCTAAATGACCAGTAAGTAAACTAAAAATGGATTGAGGATTTCGGGGTTGGGGCTTCGAGTTGAAATGCCCGACGCACCTCTACGCCACTGGGCTGCTCTTCGGCGGCAGCCTTTTCATCCTCGCCGGCCTGACCATTAGGATTGCTGTAGAGTAGAAGCCCAAAAGTTGGCAACCAAATAGCCTCAATCCTTAAGAGTGATGGTTTAGGAATCGTCCGAAACCCCTCCCCACGTGGCCAGCACGAGCAGCCGCTGCAGCAAATCTGCGGCTCGAGATGCCGCCGTGGGCCCTGCGTCCAGTCTCTTCCACTCTTCGTGTCAATTGATCCATGCTGCGTCAAGGCGGGCTTGAAAAGTGTATGAAGTACCGCGTAGAGACCCACAGACACATTTACCGATAGATAGGTTGACATGTAACGGTACACATACACATATATGCATACAGATATACACACTTACCGAAACCCTCACAACCACCAAAACCCCCACACCCTGGAAACCCTCAACGCCTGAGGGCGCCAGCGGATCACTCGCTGCGGCGCAGATCGCTAAGCCCATGGCTGCCATTGCCTTCTCGGGGGTCTCTTTGTGCGGCTTAGGAGTGCTTGGGTTTTACGTAGCGGCCTTATTAATTAGAATAGGGTTTTGGGCCCCTTTAGAGCATACTTATAATAAGGAACCCTAACAGTAACATTGGTAATTATTTAGGCTTCTATATTTGGTTTTGGTGTTGGAGGGTGTCGCATTCAGGGTTTAGGGGTTTAGAGTTGAGAGTTTAGGGCTTGCGATATAGGCACGGGTTCTGCGGCTTAGCGGGGTCTTTCGCAATCTTTGAAGTTTCAAACATGCCCTGAGGTCAATCACACCATGCTCAAAGTTCGTCCAGTTTAGGGCCTTGGGCTTGAGTCTTGAGACCACTTGGCGGTTCATGGATAGTTGTAAGTGGAGTTATAAGTCCCCTAATATAGTGGTTACCCTTACTTATAACTCCACTTCTAACTACCCATGAACCTCCAAGCATTGAAGTAGAATTCCAAAGGCGTTCGGACAAGAAGACAAAGCCGTCCTCAGCTAGCACCCCCACCGACCTCAAATGAAGTAATGTAGGGGCCTCAATAATGAGAATAGGGTTTCGGCGATTTCGGGCTCCCGAAAGGTATAAGTATAATGAGGAACCCTATGGAATAATATCGGCAATCATTTAGGCTTCGATATTAGCCCAAACCCTAAACCCACTAAAACCTAACCCTTAAGCCTTAAACCTCGAACCCCCCCCCTCCCGACCCCGCAACCTGAAAGCCCTAAGCCCAAATGGACCCTAACCTCTGAACCCCACAACACCAAACCCAACAACAAACCCCCAAGTCTTGACACCCAAGATGGATGTTGCCAGCAGGCCTCCTCTGAGGAGTTTTTCAAGCCAAGATCCAGGAGTTTGTCTAAACCTCGGTTCTTGTTAATTATAGGATTCACAATTCATGTTTCCATAATCGGGATCTATAGTGAATAGCATGGTTTCCTTATTTTGACAACTTCACAGAAGTTCCCCTCCTGCCAACCCTAAACCCTAAACCCTAAACCCTAAACCCTAAATCGAGTTTGGATGCTTGGGCTTCGGCTTTGAACTTTCAGGATTTGGCTTTCAGGCTCGGGGGTTCGGTCTGGATGGCTTGGGCTTAGGGTTTAGGGTTTAGGGTTTAGGGTTTAGGGTTTAGGGTTTAGGGTTTAGGGTTTAGGGCTTAGGGTTTAGGGTTTAGGGTTTAGGGTTTAGGGTTTAGGCGCAGCAACATGATATGGGGTGGCCTGAATGATTTTTGAATAGTGTATTCGGGTACTTCTCATTAGAGTTGGAGGAATAGTAGCCCCCATTATTCCGACCTTCGTAGTGCCCGGTTTAGAATGTGTCAGGTGTGCAGGACAGCCCGGAAGTCCGTAAAACCCCGACACACCCGATAGGCAGAAATTGAAACTGCCTCTACAGTCTACACCAAGAACTCTAACCCTAAACCACTAAAACCCCTAAAACCCCTAAACCCCCTAAAACACCCTAAAACACCTAAAACCACCCCAAACCCCCTAAAACCCGCAAAACCCCCTAAAACTCCCCAAAGCCACCTAAAACCACCCAAAACCACCCAAAACCCCCTAAAACCCCCCTAAAACCCCCCTAAAACCCCTTAAATCCCCGAACTCGTGAGCCCAGGGCCCCTACACTGCTCAGAGCCCTCACCGCCCCAAGCTGCCAGTTGGCCCAGGAGCCGCCAACTGCGGGTTTTAGTGATGCTTAAGGCTTTAAGGGCTTAAGGGTTTAAGGGTTTAGGGTTTAGGGTTTAAGGGTTTAGGGCTTAGGGCTTAAGGGTTTAAGGGTTTAAGGCTTCAGGGTTTCAGGGTTTAGGTGTTTGGGGTTTAAGGGTTTTGAGTTCAACACGTAGGGCTGCCTTTTGGAAGGGGCTTGTCAGGGCTGCCTAAGGACGTTCATAAGAGGAGGCTTTCTACGTGGTTTACAGGGCATTGTTGGATGAAAGCCGAAATTTGAAACGTTTGAATACAGGAGCCAAACTGGATAGATTGTACTACAAGTATAACTTGATTACCAGGTGCAGACTGGAAACCATTCATGCAGTATATCTGCGATGTATTCTCTAGTTGCCTGTTCAGAGATCTGTGGACTTACACCCCTAAACCCTAAACCGAGAACCCTAAACCTTTAATTCATACTACAAGTGAGGATCTTGCCGGGACCCACACGAGTATTTTCAAAAAAATCCGGAGCCACGGTCGCATCGAGGGTGAGGTGGGGAGAGGCTTTTGGGTTTAGGTTTAGGGTTCAGGGTTTAGGGTTTAGGGTTTAGGGTTTAGGTTTAGGGTTTAGGATTCAGGGTTGAGGCTGAGGACCGCTCGGGTCACTTCATCAGGGGATCTAACCGCATCCTGCGCGAAAAAACCCGTAGCCCTCCACCCGGTCCCCAAAACCCCAACCCTAAACCCTAAACCCTAAACCCTAAACCCTAAACCCTAAACCCTAAACCCTAAACCCAAACCCTGGTTTAGGGTTTAGGGTTTAGGGGGCCATAATAAGTAGAACAGGGTTGAGGGTTTAGGGTGTAGGATTTAGGGTTTAGGGGGCCATAACAAGTAGAACAGGGTTTAGGGTTTAGGGTTTAGGGTTTGAGGTTTTGTGGGCCATAATAATTCCAATAGGGTTTGGGGGCTTCCTTTAAAGGGATCCTTAAAGGGTTCTATAGGGGATCTATGATAGGGCTCTATATTAGGGGCCTTAATAATTAGAATAGGGTTTTGGGACCCCTTACACTATAGTTATAATAAGGAACCCCGACACGAGTAATGGTAATTATTTCGGCTTCTACATTAAACATTGCCCTGAAAGCCCTCATCGAGATAACTTGTGGGTCTGGGCTTTATGGCTCATTGCTATTGCTAGATGTCGGAACCGCCCACGTGCAGGTCGACACAAGCATGAAAGAAGTGTTTAGGGTTTAGGGTTTAGGGCTTAGGGGGTCTGATAGCATTATCTGTGTTGCTCCCATCTCTATGGACCCCCATCACCAGCACACGATCAGCCATCATCACACCAGCATAATTCTGATTAGGTGAGGCAGAACCCAAGAAGAAACTGACTCGAGCTTCCAGAAGCGAGCTGTTCCGGTGAAACATGACAAAGCCATGTCCATCAAATTTGACGAACCCGAGGCCAAAAGGGCATTGGAAAGCCCAGAAACGAAGCTGTACACTGTGCAGCGACGGACGCAGTTGCAGTTTCAACGGCGCAGAAGCAGGGATCAAAAAGAATCTTCAGTTTCTTGTTCAGTTTAGGGCTTACCTGAACCCCGAAAGTGGTAGCCATTAGAGGTCTTGGGCCGTTGTTTTACCTACTTTGGGGGGCTCTTAAACCCTAAACCCTAAACCGTTTCGGGCTTAGGGTTTATAGGGATCCCAAAACCGAGGCTCTCGCCTTTAAAGTTTGGGGTTCAGGGTAGGGTTTAGGGTTTAGGGTTTAGGGTTTAGGGTTTAGGGTTTAGGGTTTAGGGTTTAGGGTTTAGGGTTTGGGGTTTAGCGGCCTTGCGGCTCCTGGCGCCACCTGCAACAAGCCGACTCAAGCACTCTGAGTGTCACTCAGACCCTTCGGTACGCAATCAGATATTCCGGGTAAACGCGGGTGTCCTCAAAAAGGACAATTTCCCGAAACCGGAGGACAGACGTTGGGACCTTCCTTTTCGCAACGTCCACAACGAGGGTGTGGTAAGAAATGGACGGAGTGGCACCAGGGATGTGGCAGAGCTGCCGACGATCAGACCGCAGGAAAACCTGCTTGTTGGTGTTGACGTCCTTCAGCCTGTCGTGATCCAAACCTGAGGCGTGCAATGTTCAGAATTGGGATCTTTGTTTTCTAGTGTAAGGCAATCCATCTTTGCCCATCAACCAAGGCAGTAGAATTGGGATCTACCCTACCGAATCTCAACTGCCACCTGACTGCAGTTATGTATAGACTAAGCCGAAGGACAAATTATCTAGCAGTTTAGCAACCGCAGTGATAGTCTCGTCTGGTTTCTGTAGGAACCTGGTTGAGAAACCCTGGCTCTACAGCCCCAAACCTTTGGGATTCACGACCCTAATAAAGAATCAGGGTTTCTTGATCAGGTTCCCTGCGGCTGATGCCGCCCCTCCGACAAACGTGTCTCTGGTTGAAAGAATTTTGCTAGCTGCCTTGCTGTGCATAGGCAGCTTTTACTATTTATTGCACTCTTACTACTACTGCTACTACTACTACTACTACTACTGCTGCTCATATTATTACTACCGCCACAACGACTACCAGCGTCGACTCCTTACCACTACTACCATGACCTCCTACCATTGCCACTACGCCGACGACTACCTAGCACCTGCCTGCCCAATTACCCACCTACTGCTACTGCTCAGTGCGAGTAGCAGTGTCAGTGGGAGTTGCATTCTACAGCTTACGAAAATTTGGAATGGACGACGATGATGTTGCTTTGGGTGGCAGTCGTATAGTTAACGTCGTGACTCTTCTGGCTGCTCTGATCAAGTTTAGCATTGTTGCCACTTGTACGTGTACCCGAGTTTCAAAAAGACAATAGGCCTCCGAATTGAAAGGAGACCACAACTAGTAGGATGCTTGCTAAATACCCTAAACCCTAAACCCTAAACCCCCCGTGTTCTGCAAATCCTAAAACCCTGAACCGCCTGCATCTTTAAGCCTAGGCATTGCTCGCACCGTAGTAGAAAGGATCCCCACTAAGCCCCTACAGCCGTAAACCCGGGTTTTAGGCTTTTTAGGGCTTTAGGGCTTTAGGGCTTTAGGGTTTAGGGTTTAGGGTTTAGGGCTTTGGGGCTTTAGGGCTTTAGGGTTTAGGGTTTAGGCCCTAAACCATCAATCTCTGCCCGTAAATCGGAAACCTTAAACCCCTCAACCCCTCAACCCCTACACCTCTCAACCCCGGACCCCTTGAACCTGAAAACCCTAAACCCCTAAACCTCAAACCCCTGAACCCTAAACCCCTGATCCCCCGAAGCTCTACACCTGAAACCCTGGGCCCTAAACCCCTGATCCCCGGTTTAGGGCTTTAGGGCTTGGGGCTTAGGGCTCAAGACTTCAACCCCGAACCCGCGGAGCCCCGGATCCCTGAACCCAAGGCCCTAAACCGGGGATCAGGGGTTTAGGGCTTGAGGGTTTAGAGTTTTGGGCTTTTAGGGTTAAGGGCTTAGGCCCTAAACCCTAAACCCTAAACCCTAAACCCTAAACCCCTAAACCCCTAAACCCCTAAACCCCTAAACCCCTAAACCCCCTAACCCCAAACCCAAAAGCTACGAAGCCTTCGGTGACCAGGGCCGCCCCACAGGTCGCTCGTACCACGAAGCAGTAGAAGATATCCTCTCCTCAAGTTTCGAAGTTTAGGGTTTTAGGGTTTAGGGGTTTGGGGTTTATATAGAAGTTTAGGGTTTTAGGGCTTGGGGGTTTTAGGGTTTATATAGAAGTTTAGGGTTTTAGGGTTTTGGGGTTTTAGGGTTTAGAAGTTTAGGGTTTTTAGGATTTTGGCGTTTTAGGGTGTAGAGTTTAGGGTTTTAGGGTGTACAAGTTTAGAATTTAGGGTTTTAGGGTTTTTGGTTTAGGGTTTAGGGTTAAGGGTCCCGGAAGGAGTAGAAGATGTCCTCGCCTCAAGTTGGCTCAGGGCTTTGGGTCTAGGGTTTTTATTGGTTTTAAGCGTAAGGTTTCGGGTTCATGAAAGCTCCTCGGGTTTGGGGTCAAGGGGGTTAGGGTTTAGGGTTTAGGGGTTTAGGGTTTAGGGTTTAGGGTTTAGGGTGGGCTTACGGCTTCGTCTGATTAAGGGCTTAGGATTCCAAGGACCCCCTTTTTTGTTCCGAAGCTCTTTCGCAATATAGTGGACTCCTGCAAAGTTCAGACTTCCTAGGCAACCCTAACTTAGAACAGAAACTTGGGGTTGTGTGGAGCTTCATGAAGTCTGCATTCCTCGGTTACTGTGTATGAGCGGTGCTTCTGGCGGATGGAGATTACGCCGGGACCGAGTGCGGCACCAACGTCGTCAACCCTAAACCCTAAACCCTAAACCCGGCAGTTCCCTAAACCTCATCGTCATTCCCGCGGCCTCCAAAGTTTAGGGCTTTAGAAGTTCACTCAGCATAACAGTGGGGTTTAGGGTTTAGGGTTTAGGGTTTCGCCGTCAAAGTTGTCATCACCACCAACGTCGTCAAAAAAACTCAGCCACGGCATCGTCTTTCTTATCATCTTCATCAACATTGTCACCAACAACATCGTCATGCTCACATCACCATCATGTTCGTCATGTCCCTCCCAGTGTCCTGGGTGCACATTGCCCTCATCGGCGAAGAGCTGCGCATGCAGCTCCTCCAAACCAGTGGTCTTGTAGCCAACATCCGGCTGTGTGTACCTTTCAACTTCGTTCTGCTGCTGTCGTGAACATGGCTTTCCTCTCACCCTCGTTTCAAGGCGTTTCCTCATTCGGTGAGGTCCCAAAAGACCCAAAAGACCATTCTTCTTATGGTTTTGGGGGGACCTAATTCCACAGTAGTAGTAGTAACTAGTAGTATATATGGACCCTTCGGGTACAGCAAACAGGGATGCAAATAGCGACGTCCAAGAACAATTTGCGATCATGTACCCCAAACCAATCAAAGAACAAGGGCACCAAACTGCACCGGGCACTCGGGCAGCTCTCCAAAATTAGCGCCCCTCTATAAGGGTCCTGTTGATTCGGGTGCCGCATGCTTTGGGGGTCTTAGACAGGAACCCCAACTTAGACAACCACCCACTTCTTAATGACTCCCAGAAACTGTCAGAGCCAGCATTGTCTGAGTCCCGAAGAACTGTCCCCTGACTCTGCAACATCATACAGCCCGCACACTTCCACTTTCCGCTGCACTTACTGTCCCTAGGTCAGCCTATGAACAAGTTATACCACGCTATCCATTCATGCGTCTGTCTGCTGACTGTCGAACCATAGAGGTTAGGGCATCAATCCATCCATGTCGAGCAGCGTGCAGATTAATCTATCTTTATCTGTGTGTGGGGACATGTTTCTTGCGCTGTGCGCGTGCTCATGTACGCGTGCATTGATTACATATGAATGCGCACGCATGGCTAACATGACTGTGGGTTGAGAGAGAAAGTGGGTTGAGAGAGAAAGAGGGGGCGATAGAGCGAGAGACAGAAGAAAGCAAAAGGGCGAGAGAGAGAGAGGGGGAGAGACACAGAGACAAAGAGACAAAGCAGCGAGAGCGATAAAGGATAGTATGAATCCTACGGCATCCTATTGTTGGTGAAGGCACTGGTCTATTTTCTCCGGATCTTCGGCGAAATAGCTTCCGGCGCCGAAAATGCCACTGAGGCTGGCGAGCTTGTCACTGAATCCTTCATAGTGGATAGGGGTTTATGGCCTAGGGTACTTCTGCTGTGGAGTTTACAGTTTTGTCGAAGGAAGAACCTGCTGTCGCGTTGTCCCTGTGACTTTGATGGGACACTCCGACGCACAGCGGCTTTAAGAATCACCAACGACCCCATGCTATACATTAACCCGAACCTTTCTGCAACTGCCAGAATCTGTGACCCAAAAAACACCGACCATCATGGAGAACCGAAGAAACAGCCGAGTAAAGTCGTGGTGGCTGCAGGACCAGGCTCAGGCAATGTTCGCTATTTTAGGGGCTGGGGCTTAACAATCTCCACCTCCCCTCCACTACCAACACATTTCTTGTGATTCCTTTTAAACCTTCCGAAATGGTGGGCGGTTGTGGACTTGTGAGATTAAACTTGGATGCCCTCTTCCGAAGGTCTCGTGGGCTGAACCAGATCCAAAACTCAGACTGAACAAACTATACTGGCTCGAACCCTAAACCCTAAACCCTAAACTCCTAAACCCTAAACCCTATCCCTAAACAGTTTAGGGTTGCAGGGCATGGCGTCAATGGCCTAGGGTTCTTCGGGGTTGCGGCATTTGGACACAATCCCGCCACAAAACCCCAAAACAATCAATCCAGAGTTCAACGCCTTGGTGGAGAATGTCGAGCACACTCTGCGGGCTCGTCCCATGTAGCAGGTATCGCTCGCCGACTTGCGAAAACCTTGGAGACAGCTGTAATGCAAAGGAAGGATTCCAAGCCCTGGGTTCTGGGGTGGGTTTAGGGTTTAGGGTTTAGGGTTTAGGGGATAAAAATCAGGGCACAGGCATGTGTCCAGGAAGGCGTATAAAAACTTAGCAACTCGTTTCCGGCGTTCCATTTGCCTTTCAGAATTTACACTGGCTGCTACGAATCTATTGTTTTGGGTTGACAGGCTCACGGATACGGCCCAGGGTAGGGCCTCCCTAAACCCTAAACCCTACACCCTAAACCCTAAACCCTTAAACCCTAAACCCTAAACCCTAAACCTTAAACCCTAAACCCTTAAACCCTAAACCCTAATAACTCCGCTCAATGTGACCGAAGAGCCAGCCCTCGGCTTAGAAACCCGGAACAGAAAGGCCCCCGGCAAGTAGAAATGCCTCAAAAAGCCTTGGCGGAAGCCTAGCCTTGCTGAACTAATCCTCAAGCGAGTAGGATTGAGGGCTTAAGTACTTTAGGTTTAGGGTTTAGGGTTTAGGGTTTAGGGTCTAGGGTTTAGGGTTTAGGGTTTAGGGTTTAGGGTGTTTAGGATGCGGGGCTTGGAGTTTGGGATTTCCGGCTTTTCACAAGGTCCAAGGTCCAGCAGCAGGCTGCCAGGCATGCTGCCAGAGGCATCCTCCAGCTTGCTCCTCGGCTGTCTCAGCCCCGACGCCCCAAACGCAAAAAACCCTAAACCTCTTAACCCTAAAACTTTCAACCCTAAACCCCTAACCCGTAAAACCGTGAGACAGCGTCAGGCGTGACTGGTTCGACTCCACTAAGAACGTGTTATAACATATGAGGCATGTGCTTGGAGGTTCATGGGCAGTTATAAGTAGGGTTACAAGTAGGGCAACTATAGTTATAACCTATATTAGGAGACTTATAACCCCGCTTATAACTACCCATGAACCTCCGAGTATGATCCCTTATAGACTCTTTATAAGACCCCTTATAGAACCCCGTTATGGATCCCTTACAAAAGAACTTCTAACTACCCATGAACCTCCAAGTGCCCAAGGATCCCATTCAGAGGAGGATCCTCTTCTGACTCCCAGGGACCCGAATATCCCTTACTTGAGGAATATACCTTAAATCATATTAGGGATCCTACTATAATTCAAGGTATATTCCTTAATTAAGGGATATTGGAGTCTCTGGATTCAGAGGGTCCGAGCTGGTCCACAAGTTGGGGCGAGGCATCCGAGCCCTGGGATCCCATTTTTAAGGTTTGGGGTTAGGGTTTAGGGTTTAGGGTTTAGGGTGGTTTAGGGTGTACCTTAACCTACCAAAAGATAGTTTTTTTGTAGGGTCCCTAAAAATTCCATATTAGGGTTTATAGTAGGAACCCACAAAAGAAGTAGGGTTTGGTAGTTTAAGGTAGGTTTTAGGGGCTTGAAACGTGAGGCTGTCTGAACTTATCCACAAGTCGGGTGAGGCATCCTGCTAAGGCTTCGGACGTCTCAACGTGAGGCTGTTCTGAACTCTCCCAGATTATGGCTGCAGCTTACCCAAACCCTGAAAAGTGGGCAACAAAATGGCCCAACACCTATAAAAGGCCACTATTCTGCCTACTTTCGGGTTCCCTAAACCCTAAACCCTTTGGGTTCAGGTAAGGCACTTCCAGCTAGTCAGCTCGATCTTCTGCCGTCGCAGCTGCGCCATGTTTGAGTTCACCGCATTCCTCGGGGGATTCATTGGAGCTTTTGCGGCTCATGGGGTTTAGGGTTTAGGGTTTAGGGTGTGGTCTTACACTAGCCTACGGGTCCGCAGTCTGTAACCTAAACCCTAAACCCTAAACCCTAAACAAGCGAAACTAGTCTCAATTACAGCTAGACTATACCTCTACCTTAACCCTATGCTTCCAGGGGCCTCATTATTGGGTCCTCAAGGGGTCTAGGGCCCTAACTATAAGGTCCTTGGAAGCATAGGGTTAACCTACCAAAACCTACTTTTTTGTAGGGCCCCTATAAATTCCATATTAGGGTTTATAATCGGAACCTACAAAAACTGTGGGTTGTTGGTCAAGCAACACTTGCGACCAAAAGCCACGGCCGACAAAGCAGAAAACTACCGAATTGGCTTTCGAAGCCCGCCAAGAGTCCGTTCTGCTGCATACTTCAGCCAGTGCGTCGGATGTTCCAGGCGCCAGGCACACACCACCTTTCGATGACGGCGGCATGCATGTTCCAGTGTCTAAACGAAGCGATACTTTAAACTTTATAGGTGTGCAGAGGAGCTTAACGTGATAGCTATTCCAGTCGTACCAAACTGCGATTACAACATTCAGTCCCGTTGATTTTGGTTTGGCGGCTCTTGCTGAGTCTGGACCGAAACCGTGCTCCCGCAACAGTCCTGTTTGGCAAGTTATTTGGGGTCTCATCTTATGCCGATGGTGAGATTTGCCTACAACAGCAACCAGCTCGAGAAGAGCATCAACTCTTACCATGTCAGATCCTTCGCCACTCCGAAGTACCGTCCCTAAACTAATGGGGACCCCCTCCCAAACCCTGTCAAGGATCCAAAACAATAGAATCCCCCTGGAAGGCATCCTACTATGATAAGGGGTAACGAAAGCCTCATGCAAGGTATCCGTCTTTTGGATCCTTTCAAAGGTCTGGGCCGTGGTCTATGCACAAAGCCCTGTACACAAAGCCTTAACCAGTAAACCCAAAACCATATACCCTCAACTGCAACCCCTGAGCTCTTAACCCCAAACCCCGGTAGGATTCAGAGTTCAAGGCAAAGCAGAACAAAAGGGGAAAAAGGAGAGAATATTGTGCTTTTCTGTTCTCTTAACTTGACTGAACGAAGAGAAACCCAAGCACCAAACTAAGTCAACAAAATAAACGCACGATGTGACCGCAGAAGCCCTAAACCCTAAACCCTCAACCCTAGGCCCTAAACCCTAAAGAAGGGGCTTGGGGTTTCGTGGCGTTGCCGGCCTCGAGGTTCTGGTAGGCTCGCGAATACTCGTGTGCATCCCTACCTGCGCTCGTTCTAGGAGGGGCCTAAGCTTCGGGGTGTGTAGGGTTTAGGGGTTAGGGTTTAGGGTTTGGGGTTTAGGGTTTAGCGTTTAGGGTTAAAAGGGTTAAGAGGGTTACGAGGGTTAAGAGGGTTCAGAGGGTTTTGGGTTTTAGGGGTTTGGAATCACTTAAGCTAAGCTGAGATAGTAGAAACATAATTAACAAAATCCATAAACCCTGAACCCCGTACCTAGGCTCTTGTGAAGACACTTTGCCTTGCTGCAAGCTACCATGGTAGATCCCTAAAACCTGAACCCTCATCCCTGACCCTGAAGCTCGAATCCCTAAACACTAAACCCTAATCCCTAAACCCTAAACCCTAAACCCTAAACCCTAAACCCTAAACCCAGGATCCCTGGAATAAAATAAGGCCTCCCTTTTTTGGCGTAAGGTAGCTTTGTAAGGAACCTAAGACTTCAGACTACAAAAAGGGAAGAAAGGGCCCACTGGGAGGCCTAGCTGGACCTAAAAAAGGTCTCCACGGTTTAGGGTTTAGGGTTTAGGGTTTAGGGTTTAGGGTTTAGGGTTTAGGGTTTAGGGTTTAGGGTCTAACAAGAAGCCAGATACCTCTGCCCAGCTCCCCAGGCTTCGTGACGACAAACAGGCCCTTGATGCACTGCAGCGTCTCATTGTCCACAGGGATCACCGACCAGCCTCTGTTTGGGGTTGTGGGTTTAGGGTTTAGGGTTTAGGGTTTAGGGTTTAGGGTTTAGGGTTTAGGGTTTAGGGTTTAGGGTTTAGGGTTTAGGGTTTAGGGTTTTAGGGTTTGGGGTAGAATTGCTCGCAACCACTCAACCAAGACAGTGCCCCTGCCCACCCTCCCCCCTCCGCTTACTAACTCCCTCAGGAGACTGCATACAATCCGGTTGCTTCATGCAGATCCCTGATTCCTAACTCTCACTCCCGTAAAAAGGTTCACACGAGAGATCCAAATATTATGTATGGCACTGAAAAAGGGGAATTACCCATCCGGACTCTGCCCTCAAAGAAGAGGTGTCTATCAACAGCACGTCCACATTGCCCTAAACCCCAAACTCTGAAGCCAAACCAAACTGTATTGCCCCCTCATTAAATCCTGACGAAACCCTTATAATGACAAGATCTTGTACAACTCTTAATAATAAGGCCCTTCTCCCTTACAAAAGCTGTAAACCAAGACCCTTCGCTTCCCTACGTCTGCGCAAGCTTGGCGGTCCGAGGTACAAAACCCTAAACCTTGAACCCAAGCCCCCAGAACACCCGAAACCTCGAACCCTCAAACCCTACAAACCCTGGACCCAGACCATACTCCGCGGGACACTGGTCTCGGGGGACTGGGGGGAGACCCCCACACCCTCGGTTTAGGGTTTAGGGTTTAGGGTTTAGGGTTGCCTTGTCTCAAAAATTACATAAACACCCTCTACAGTAACACCAAAAACAACCCTTACCCAAACCCTCGAAGAATACAGCTTAAGAGTGGGGCCTTGATAACTAGAACAAGGTGTTGGCGCCCATTCTACTAAATTCGAACTAATCTTGGGAATTGTTTAGGCACCCTAAACCCTAAACCCTAAACCCTAAACCCTAAACCCTAAACCCTAAACCCTAAACCCTAAACCCTAAACCTATGTTGCGCTCGCCAGTCCAAGAGTCCAAGGAACCTTTAAAGGAATGTCGAAGCCCTTAACACAGCCCTTAAAGGAACCCTCAAGGGCACCCTCAAACCTTGAGGGGCACTCTTAATAGGGTTTAGGGTTTAGGGTTTAGGGTTTAGGGTTTTTTTTTTTTTTTTTTTTTTTTTTTTTTT